TATTAGAGATACTACAGAAATGAGACACTCCCAGCAGTTGAGTTCCACCCCGCAATAATTTGATAGGTCTCAGAACCAGCGTGCCCAAGCCATCAAACAAATGCTTTCCAAACCAGTTTTTTCTCATTTTAGGCAGCATCAATGGTTGTCTTGTAACCTGAAAGTGAAAAAAAAAAGGAATGATTAACAAATGTATTTAGAAGAAACATACTCGAATTTAAGCACTTAGTGAACATGTTCTACAAGAAAAGTCATGAGATATTAAAATCTGGAAAAGCTTAAAAGTTTTATATAAATCAACCTTTGCGTCAAAACTACTAAACTATTATTTACTGAAGAGCAATATAATTTTTTTGTTTTATCATAGACAATCTCATAAAATAGCATTGATATTTGCTGCATAATTCAGATTTCATGTCAATTCCAGAACTTAAAGATGCTTAACTTCTTCTATCCAACAACTCCTTCATGAAAGCAAAATCAGACAGCTGATCGAACAATATAAACAAAATCCAAAGCCAACATGTGGGACCTTGGAGATCAAAGAATAAAATATTCTATAGCAAACTAACGGAAATACCTCAGACGTCACCAAGATCCGTAAATATGATAAAAGGATAAAAATCTAAACCAGTTATGTTGAACAACAAATAATATATAAAGCAGCCATTGCAATCAAAATATGTTCTGCACTTCAAAATCATATTTATGTTTAAAAATTGCAAACACGAGCTAATCCACCATAAAAAAATCCATCGAAACAAGAACAAATGTTGATGCAAATATGTGAAACATAAATTTTTAAGATCAATTTTAGGGCCATCTGAACTTCGACTCAACAAGCTTATAATAAAAACAAATGTTTTGATGAGATACAACCAACAACTCCAAAAGCATATTGATCCGAATTTAAATGAGCCTAAAACAAGTACTCAAAGAATAGTTAGAAACTTCATGACACTATTGGAGGGACCAAACTGTAACACCACATGACAATCCTTTACCAGTAACGTAGAGTGTCATATAACTAAACCTAACTTTTTTTTTTTTTTTTTCATTTAATAATTCTCTTCAATTTCATGCTCATATAAAACATTCACTGACGATTATATTTGAATAACAACGAAAGCATCTAAATGATCCAACTTTCATCACAAAACTAATTACAGAGCCGCTAAGAAACTTCAAAATAATATAATACTGAACAATTTACATATCTTTATTGTAGACTTCCATACAACATAACACTATAGAATATAAAGTGAAATAAACTTAAACATATTCTGCTTCGACTTTTTTATTTCCTCCCCGTATAATAACAGTCAGTATAAACACTAGTGAGCTATAAGACTCAGTAAGTTATGCAATTTACATAAAAATTAAATGTCAAATTATCAAGAATATTATAATTGAATCAACTCAAAAGCATTTGCAAAACCACATAAAATCATTTTTAGGATCATCCTTTAATTTATTTAAAGTATGTACAGAATATCATAATTAGACTTCTAAGGTTATAACTATCATTTTCATAATGTTAACTTTCATAAAAATGTTCAATGGAGCTCAAGTAACTCTAAAATTATCGTCATTGAACTACATAGAGTTTCATTTTGTCTCTTTATGATGCAAGCAAAAAATTAGAAAGACTCTAATTTTTGCAAGCAAAAGATAATAGACTTCCTAGGATATACAAAATTCCACAAAAATAGACAAAATAAAACTTTAATATTATAAATGACGCTTATAAACTTTTAAAATAAAACAAACATAAAACAACACCTAAATGAGCTCTTCTTGCTTGAGACAAAAGATACATGTGGAGTGGATACTTGCGGAGAGAAGAAAGAGGTAAGAAGCCAGGACGAAGGAGAGGACAAACTCGCAAACTTTCCTAGAAGAAGGGAAGAAGAAGGGAACAAGCTCACAAGCTTTTCCAAGAAAACCCAAAGGTTTTGGCTTCCAAAAATAAGTCACATAACACCCTCTTATGCTTACAAAAAACTTAATATATATAGGGGAAATGGGGCAGCTAAACAGGCCCAAAGACCACTAATTAAACCCATTAAAAAGGGGAAAACAAAAGGTCAAGGGACTGTCCAGAAACAACACCCAAAGAGCCACACAGGAAGCCAGAAAGGCAACCAAGGGGGAAAGGAACGGATGGCCAGAGGAACCGGGACGGACAGCCAAGGGAGATGACACCGGACCGGAGGGGGCTCGACGAGTCCACGCCGATGATCCAGTGGCCTTGGCGAGATAACTCCAAGAACTTCTTGGAGGAATGATCCACCACCTAAGAATCACTCTTAGGATATAGGAAAACAAACAAATTAAACTCAAATATTATTCATCTCCATCTTCCTCAATTACAAACCTTGCTACCTATTTATAGACAAAGGTAACAACCTATTAGGCTACACACAACCAAAAGAAAACACTAATCCTATGTAGCCATATAACTACCAATTGGAATTAACTATCTTGAAGTTAATACAATAACGTCTCAGCTCCGGCATCATACTAACAGGGTAGGAGGAACTTTAGGCTCATAAGAAGATGCTCAGTTGGCCACATTAGGAAGGCAGATTTGGTTGGCTAAACCGATCAGGATAGGTCCACCCGATGTCATTTTATCTACCAATATTTAATTTTTCAATAGTAGCATAAGCAGATGGAATACCCTTGCTTGGTACTCTAAGTCTTGGTACTCTAATTCTTGCATCTTCTGCCGCCCCAAGACCAACAGCTCCCAGACTAATAGAATGTATACTTTCCTTGCATCTCCTGTGAAGATGGGAAGAACATGGTCTCCTTCCTTGAGTTCAGTAACACCCCAGCCATCATGAACACATTCAAATGCAGAAATCATGGCCTCAACATTTCCAGTGCATTCGACACTTCGGTCGACTCCACCATTATTCTTTTCTGCAATGACCTGTTGAATTAGCTTGCTCTTATCATCTTTATTATTTGTGGGTTGCTCCAGATCAAGAACTCCACCAAACCTATCGTCATCATACACGTCGTACACAAGCTCATCGTAGAGAGGCAAAGACAACGATTTCGGCAACGGAGCTTCAAATTCTTCAAAGCTGAACTCGATCGAGGGTGGAGTGGAAGAAATCTGATCATCTGAAATGCCCTCATCGTCGTCATCATTTCGTAAAGAATTAGTTGGAACGAAAGACCTTGAATCTGTCATGGAAGCGTACTTGACCCATGGTCGAAAGCCATCAACATCTTGGGGAGTGCCCGAGTATGTCCTTCGTTCAAGCCTTGACAATTGTTGTTTGAGTTGAATAATTTCTTGTTGAAGATCTTCAATTTCGGCTTCTTGTAGTGGTCCCTGCAACGTCCATCGAGAAGGAAACATGCTCTGTTTTCAAGAACCAATTCAAGACAGTAAGAAGGGCTGCACCGAGCCTTCAATCCAAGCCCTGCTCTTCCTTGTTTAGCTATGTTCCGACCTTCACGGCAATCTACTCCGCATCCACGACTTTCTTTGATCTCCCACGCCCAGTTCTCCAGCCATATCCCTCTTCTCGGCACCGACGCCGCAATCACCCTTCTCTCCGCTCGATACTAGCCATGTGAAGTCCACACCGGCTAATGAATGGCTTGTACTTCTGCAGCTGATCAAATCTCTCTCAAAGAGCAGGAGTTTTGATGTGCTTGACTAGAAAAGAGCTGCACTAATTCTCCTTTAGGATCGTGGCTTCCTTGCTTCCGTTTCTTCACTTTTCTTGCTTAGGTGCTCTCCGCTCAAGCTCGCAGATAACTCCCGTAAACTCCAGGTCTTACCTTCAGTTCCTTGCGCACCAGGCACTTGCTCTCAAGA